TGGATGGATGGGTGGATGGATGGATGGTGGGTGGATGGATGGATGAGTGGGTGGATGGGTGGATGGAATGGTGGAGGGGTGGAGGGGTGGGTGCCCGGATGACTGAATGGAGGGCTAAGTGGGCTAAGAGTGAGTAAATGGGTAAGTGGATGAGTGTTAGATGAGTTTAAAAATGAATGGATGCATGGACGGAGTAATAGACAAGTGGAGGGAAGGGTAAGTAACTTCTTGGAAAAGGGTTCCAGGGGCCCTGTGGCAGCTCACCATGGACCCGGACGCCAAACTGAAGTTCTGTGTTGCCTGCTACATTGGCAGCCACACAGCGGTAGCTCCCAGCATCAGAAAGCCGGGCTCGCTCAATGCGGAGGCTTCTTCCGTCAGCGGAGACTGTCACCCCTGTCTGGGCGGAGATGCGCTGGCGGCCCTTAAACCAAGAGACATCTGCAGGAGAAAGCAGGGAGGCAAGGAGTCCTGCTGGAGCAGGGGCACCCACGAGAAGCTTGCAGACGCCGGAGAAGGCCAGCGTTCTTCGGGAAAGGAGCGGGGCAGGACAAGGCAGTGGTGCTTGAGGCAGGACTGCTGGGTGGCGGGTGGGAATGGCAGGAGCAGGAGTGCTCGAGCTCGGAGGGGAGGCATGGACGGCCTCCCCCGACAAGCCCATGCTACCCGTATGCCTGGTGCCCGTGCCTCACCCCAAGCACCCAGCCCTTTCTCAGCAGCTGCTCCAGAGAAGAGAGATGACACGTGGGGGACCTGGGGGAACTGTTTCTCACCCCAGCCCCGTGCAGCCCTATGGAGTGCAAACTGAGCAGAGCCCCCAGGCCCCGGGGCAAAGCTTTATCCCCAGCGCTCGCTGGGTGAGTTTAAGGGGGCAGCTGGAAAGGGCTTTCCCCCAGGGGAGCACCTTACCGGGAGGAGGCACCCCCGAGGCCAGGCACTCCAAGGTCAAGGATGCGTTCTCCAGCACCGCCTGGCTGGTGGGGCCTGGCTCGATGCTGGGGGGCACTGGGAAGAGACACGGAGAGACCCAGCTCGGGGACAGTGGGTGTCTCTCATCCCGCCCACTCCGATACCCCTTGCCAGTCCTCCCAAGGCCAAGAGCACGATCCAGGGGAGGGCCGTGCTCAGGCGGGGACTTGCCCACCCCCGCAAGGGTGTATATGGACCCACAACAGGAAGCAAACAAGCTAAGGCAGCCACAAAGCTGGGCACAGCCCCCCAAAGGGGTTGGGAGCCACAGGCGGCTGCTGAGGCTTTATCGCAGGCTGCCACGTCCTCCAAAGTTGAGCTCACACTGTGACTTTCAAACCTCTACAACCATGCCCCCAGCACCCGGGGCCCCGCAGGGATTACCCGCCACCCCCGGCCTTGGGCCCTGCTCGCGGCCACGTCCTCACCCAAGACCTTGACCGCCACGTCCCTCTTGCTCTCCCCAGCCAGGTTCGTGGCCACGCAGCTGTAGATGCCTTCGTCCCTCAGGTCCACCTTCTCGATCTGGGGGAGGAGGGCCAGGGTGTATTCGGGGAGCCACAGAGCCCAGGCTGGGCACAGTCAGAGCGGTACAGGGACATGGTGGGTGGTCAGGCGGCTGGGGACCCCAGGGCAGGCAGAGTGCTGGGAGTTATGGGCCAAGCTCTCAGAGTCCCAGCGCCCCTCTCATCTCCAGCATGATTCCCTCCCTGTTTTCTCCCCCTGACGGCTGCGGTTCCTGGGACCTGGAAGGGGTGGAGGGCCCCCTCCTCTCTCCAGGCCCCACACCCCAGGGCCCGGAGTGTCCCAGGCTTGGAGGGCTATGTGTCTGCCCCCCCGACACCACCAAGGCTCTGCACAGGGCCAGCAGGACCCGGGAAGAGTGGCTCCTCCACATGTGCCCAGCTGCCCCACCAACCCTGGGGCTCCTAAATGTACCTGCAGGGTCCCGCCTGAGGTTGCCAGGGCCACCCCATCCTTCCACCAGTGGAGGCTTGGGGGAGGCATGCCAGCCCCTACACACTGGAGGGTCACAGACTGCAGGAAAGGGGCTGTGATGTTCTCACCCCCGATGATGTCAACGGACGGGAGCTCTGGGGAGGGGGAGAGAGGGAGGGCCTGGGTCAGGCTAAGGTGCGGTGCGGGGGGTACCCAGCAATCCCCCTGATATCTGTGGGTGAAAGGGTGGCTTTGCAGGGCTCCACCAAGGTCTGATCCCTAGCTTTCCCCCACACTCTGCCCACAAACACCTGGCTTAGAGAAAAGAGCTCCAGACTGGGAGCCAGCAGAGGAGCCCGTTCCCTTAGGAGTTCTCCCATCCATCCACCCACCTACTCATCACCCACCCATTCCTCCAACCTTCCAACAATCCTTCCATCTCCTACCCCTCCTCGTGCCTATGCATCCACCATCCATCATCCATCCACCCACTCATCCATCATCCATCCACCCATCCATCCATTCACCCATCCACCTACCCACCCATCCATCCATCCATCCATCCATCCATCCACCCATCCACCTACCCACCCACCCATCCATCTATCCATCCATCCATCCACCCACCCATCCATCCGTCCACCCATCCATCCATCCATCCAACTACTCATCCACCCATCCATCCATCCACCTACCCACCCATTCTCCATCCATCCATCCATCCATCCATCCATCCACCTATCCACCCAACTACTCATCCATCCATTCATCCAACCACCCATCCATCCATCCATCCACCTACCCATCCATCCATCCGTCCACCCATCCATCCATCCATTCATCCATCATCCATCCATCCATCACCCACTTATCTACTCACCCATCCATCCATCCACCCATCCCACTGTCCACCCACCCACCCATCCATCCATCCACTTATCCATCCATCCGTCCACCCATCTATCCATCCACCCATCCATCATCCATTCATCCATCCATCTACCCATCCACCTATGCCCCCATCCATCCGTCCATCCATCCATCCATCCATCCATCCATCCATCCATCCATCTACTCATCCATACATACACACATCCATCTACCCATCCACCCACCATCCATCATCCACCCACTCACCCATCCATCATCCATTCACCCATCCATCCATTCATCCATCTACTCATCCACCCATTCATCTGTCTACCCATCCATCCATCCACCCACCCACCCATCCACCTACCTATCTGTCCACCCATCCATCCACCCACCCATCTATCCATCCATCCATCCATCCATCCATCCATCCATCCATCTACCCACCCATCCACCTATCTGTCCACCCACCCACCCATCCATCCATCCACTCACCCATCATCCACCCACTCATCCATCCACCCACCCTTCCACCCTTCCATCCATCCACCCACCCTTCCATCCATCCACCCATCCATCATCCATCCTCCATTCATCCATCTTCCCATCTGCCTACCTGTCCATCTACTCACCATCCATTGACTCAACTACCCACCCATTCATCCACCACCCATCCTTCTATCCACCCACTGACACATCAACCCACATTTATCCATCCATCCACCACTCACTGGTCACCCACCCATTCATTTAACTATCATTTGACTATCTAACCATCAACCCATCTTCCTCGTCCTTACTGCTTACCCACCTCTCATACATATATCATCCATCCATCCATTCATCTTTCATCCATCTACCTGCTCACCCACCCACCCATCCATCCATCCACCCATCCACCCATCCATCATCCGTCCATCAACATGTGAATGAACACCTACTCTGCCCAGCACAGTTCTAGCCCCTGAACACAGCAGAGCAAGGTGACCATGCGCTGGTTGTTTTGAGCTCATAGAGCAGGAAGCAGAGATGAATGACCACCCTAGTGTGGTGGGTGATGGGTGGGCTCTGCCACAAGACCGGAAGAGGGTGCTGGTGTATTTAAAGGACTGCATGCGGTTCGTGTGGTCACAGGAAGAGAGTAGGTGGGGAATGAGGCCAGGAAGGGGAGCGGGCCTGAGGGCTGGACAGGGCAGATGACAAGCACGCTGCGTGGCTGAGAGGAGACCAGCCTCGCACATCCACGTCTCTGGGGAACTCAGACATCCAGTGCGGCTCACCGCCCAGAGGAGACGGCCCCCGTCCCTCCCAGGCCTGACGATGCCATCTGGCTCCCTTCGCCTGGCATTTCAGGCTGCCCACCACCCCAAGTCCTGGCCACGGCTCACCATGCACAGACACCTCCACCTCGGCCCCTGCGGTGCCCGCATCGTTGGTGGCCTGGCAGGCGAAGAGGCCGGCATGGCCCAGCTCCACACGGTCAATGTGCAGCGTGGTTCCCTGCGCAGCTACCCGCACTCCGGCCAGCTCCGCGGCAGGGCGGCCATTCTGCAACCACCTAGGGTGGGGCCCGGGCACAGGCTGGCCTGAGGCCGGGAAGGGCCGTTCCTGGACAGGCAAAGAAGCTTCCTGTCCCTCCCGGGCAGCCTGGCTCCCACACCTGGGGACGGGGAGCAGCTCCCTCCCCACGTCACCCACGGCTCGCACTCTGCCCACCCAGCCCCGGCCCTGTGCCCTGTACGCACTGGATGGCGGGCACCGGGGAGCCCGAGGCCCTGCACGGGAGCTCCAGGGGCTGTCCCACGATGGCGGTCACCTGGCCCAAGCCTTCAGCCACCAGGAGCTGTGGGGGCACTGCGGGCAGGACATGCTGCTGGCGGCTGGAGCTGAGCAAGTCTCCCCACAAATGGCCAAAGTGGGGTGAGGGGCCCCTTTGTTTACTGTTGCCCCCCACCAGGTTGTGTCCCGAGGGTCCTGTCTGCTTCGTCCGCTCTCTCTCCACCCCTGTGGGCTGGCACGGAGGAGAAGCTGGGAGCCCCTGCGGAGTGGCTGAAGAGCTGGGGACGGGGCAGCGTCCGTGGCAGCTTTGGGTCTGGGGACAATCTTGCTCTTTTTGGTGCTGGGATCAGACCCAGAGCCTCACACGTGCTCTGCAAGCGCTCTACCATGCAGCCCTGCAGCGCTTAACAAATGTCCGCCCCGTGGACAGAAGGCAGAATGGTATGCTCCGCCGGGGCCCCCTGTCCCCAGGACAAGGACAGGAGCAGGTTCTGGATCCCAGGACTCAGCCCCTCCCTGCTGAAGCTCAGTGCCCTCATCCATGTCATGCAAGACAGGGACACCGGGGACTTCACCACCCTCCATCGCCACAGGGGACAAAAGTCTGGGACCAACAGGTGTGCGAGGAGGTCCGCTGTCCTCGGGCCAGCTCACCCTGCACGTCCACGGCGTACTGCAGCACGGCCTCGCCTGCGGGGCTGCTGGCCACGCAGCTGTACAGGCCCCCGGATGCCTCCGCCAGGCTCCGCAGCCGCAGCGCGCCGTCCGGCTCCAGCCACGTCCCGTTGCTCTCGGCCAGCGGCAGCCCCTCGTGCTGCCAGGACACGGTGGGGGGCGGGAAGCCTCTGGCCGCACACTCCAGTGCCAAGGGCCTCCCGGCCACGGCCTGCACCACGTACGGCCCTCCGCTGGCACCCTCGATGGTGGGTGAGACTAGGAGGAAGGCAGGGGTGCTCAGGGCCCTGTAGTCTCCCCACACCAGCTCTGCCCCGCTCAGACGCCCTCCTCCTGGAGCCTCCCTGCCCCTCCTGCCCCAAGGATGCCCCCATCCTCTGTCTCAGCGCCCCCCGGAGCTCATCAGGAGCAGAACACCCGCTCGCCCCCAGGACCCGGCACAGGGGCTCTCGGGTGTGGTTCTGGGGGCTCCTGACTCAACCAGTAGTGGCCAAGGGGACAGGACTGGATCAGTGCCCAGGGCCCAGCGCAGCCAAGCCGCAGGGGGAGCTTTGCTCTTGCTCTCTGGGGGCTCAAAGGCTGCGCTGGCGACGCCATGGCCGAGGGACTCGGGGAAATCTTGGATTGGGAGTCGGGGTGCATTTCAACCCTGTTTGGGTCTGAAGGTGCTTTGAATATGGAATGCATGGGCATGTGCGCACGCACACACGCACACACATTACACAAACACACACACACACACACACGCACATTTCATTTCCACGGACCCTCAGACCCCAAATAAGCTGGGCCGAGGCTCAGAGATGCCCACGAACCCGAGGGCTTCTTCGCATCCGGGGGCCACAGCACCCAAGCCGCCCCCTCATGAGGGACCAGGGTGGTCCCCACTAGACTGCACGCCACTCCCAACTTCCCAGGGGCCTGCTCATACCACCCAGGCCCATCTTCCCCCAGGCTCCTCCGATGTCCCGAGAGCCCATCCCTGAGGATCAGGTGACACTGAGGTCACCAGCAGGGGCTGTGGACCACTCCCTCCCGTGCTGACCACGCCATCGCCTTCCCACGGTGGGAGCTTCCCGGCCCCGGAGCCTCCCCATGCTCATCTTTCCACGGGGACGTGAGACCAAGTCCTGTTACCAGCCTGTGTCGCACAGTCCCTGGAGCCCAGCTCAGGGCAGCAATGCACCCTGAGCGATTGATTATCCCAGGTATTGAGGTCAGCTTAGCAAAAAGCCCCAAACCGGGGAAGGCCTGGAGTGTAGACTCAGCCCTGCCATGCACCCCCAGACAGTGCCTGTGCTGGGCCTCAGTCTCCCCACCTGCATGAGGGACGCTAGAGGGGCTGGGCAACCCCTCTCTCCCAAGGACCCTTTGGTTCCATTTCCCAGTTGCCCCTGCACTGACCTCTGGAGACAGGTGGCGGCCTCCTGGGGCTGGCATCCCTCCCGATGCCCAGCCAGATGACCCGCACACGCTCACCATAAACCGCCAGCCGGGTGGCCTTCTCCATGACGCCCACAGGGTTGCTGGCCTTGCAGGTGTAGATGCCGGCGTCTGATCCCTGGGCCCGTCCCAGCTGCAGCTGCCGGCCGCCCCTGGCGTAGACCACCTCGGTGCTGGCGGGGAGCGGGGCCCCGTCCTTGAACCAGGTGATGTCGGGGGTGGGGGCCCCTCGGGCCTCGCAGAGGAGCCGCACCGGGTGTCCCTCCATGGCGGCCACCTCGCCCGTCTCATTGGAGCCCCAGATGGTAGGGGGTGCTGAGAAGGACACAGCAGGTGGGGGATCACAGGTGCCCTCACGGGCGGCCGGCGTCCTCCCCCAGGGAAGCATGCACGTGCCCTTGGGCCACAAGCACGTATCACGGGCTCCCCTGTGGGGACAGGAAGGCACGGGGCATGGAGAGAGCGCGGTATCAGCACGGGGAGCCAGGCCAGCTCGGGAGAGGCTGGAGGGGGAAGCAGGTCCAGTCACCACCGGGGGCACGGGGACCCGCGCTGCCCCTAACTCACTGTATGACCCGGGGTAGGACCCGTCCCCTCTCAGGGCCTCAGTCTCCCCATCTGTGGAATGAGGGGCTGGACTAGATCAAGGCTCCCCCCGGGAAGGGGGTACCACCCACCACTGGTACCCAGGATGATTTCGGGGGTCAGGTGGGCATGGTGTGGGATGACGCTACACCCCACAACCTAAGACTCTTGGGGGCCAGTGTGTCCCTAAGCTTTCAGGCCCTCTCTAGGCTCCCCGCCAGCACAGCGGCAGGCACGGGCTAGTGCCCTGTCCAGGGCACACTGTGAGGATGGGCTCCCGGCCTCTCTGGCTCTATTCGCTTTGCGTGGATGGCACGTGCCGCCTGCTTTCCACTTACGGTTTGGATCATAAATACCTCTTCAGTGTAAAGAAATCTGGAAAGCCTCTGGCCTTCCAGCCCCCAGCTGGTTTTCCCAGACAGGGGACTCGTCCCTGGGGCCCCCATGTCTGTCCTCATCGCCCCCCTTCCCCGGCAGTGGCAGCGGACAGGAAGCATCACAAGCAGCTGGTGGCCTGGAAGGGGTCGGGTCTCACAGTGGACATGGAGCTGGAAATCCTTGGTCTGCTGGCCCGCCGGGCTGAAAGCGATGCACTGGTACCGCCCCTCGTCCCCTAGGTGACTGCTGGTGATCCTGAGGACCTGGCCGTCCTCCTGGAGCTGCGTGTGAGGGTCTCCCGGAAGGACGGGCCTGGAGAGGTGTCAAGCGGGGTGGGCCATTCTGGCTGAGTGAAGGTAGGACAGGCAGCTCCAAGGGGACCGCAGGTCGCGAAAGGGCCAGCTGGCCATGCCCCCACCACCACCAGGTGGAAGCAGCCAGCTATCCATCCGAGGAGAAACAATTATTTAGCTGCAGAAAGGACTGAAATTCTGACACCTGCTATGACGATGACCCTCAAAAACATTCTGCCAAGGGAAGGAAGCCGCACAAAAGACCAGCTGGTGTCTGACTCTGTGAGAGATGCCCAGTGCAGGCAAATGTGCGGAGACAGGAGGCGGGCAGGTGGTGGTCCTGGGGCAGGAACAAGGGGCTGGGAAGCGGCCCCTGACGGGTCTGGAGCTTCCTTTCAGGGTGATAAAATGCTCTGGAGGTAGACAGTGACCATGGCAGCACAGTGCTGTAAGCGCACCGGAGGCCACTGAACTGTTGCTTTAAATTGGGCCATTGTAGGTGACAAGAATTTCGCCATAACATAATTCAGTGGGTTTTTTGTTTGTTTGTTTTAGGGGTGCTGAGCAATGTGAAGACCCTGCGCAGGCCTACAGGCTCCCTCAGAGTGTGCCCCAATCCAGCTCTAGCCCTGTGTGTGCATCAGAGAGCTACTCACTGTCCGTCCTTGGTCCACTCCACCTGGGGCGTGGGGACCCCCGAGGTCCGACACTCCAGCTCCATGTCAGCACCAGCCAGGCCTCGCACCTCCTGGGCAGCCCGAGCCCCCAGCATGGATGGGGGGACTGCGGGACGAGAGGAGTGCGGAGCTCAGACCCTGAGGACCCTGCTGGCCACAGAGCCTTTGCCTGTGCAGGTCCCCCCAGCACTGTCCTCCCAGGAAGCTTCCCAAGCCCCAGCCAGATGGGCCCCCGGCCTACAGTTCTCGGGAGCCTGCCCTGCCCTGCCCTGCCTTGTGTCGTGGTCTGTCTAGTGTGTCCCCTGCCCTGGAGGCCCCGGGAGGACAAGGACGGGTCTGCCACAGCCCCTCTGGGCAGCCACACAGGCGTGCGCCCGGCTCACTCACTGAGCACCAGGAGATGGATGTCCCTCTGGGCGCTCCCCGCCTGGTTCTCCGCCCGGCAGGAGTAGAGGCCCGAATTGGCCTCCTCGGTCCTGGGGAAGTGGAGGGTCCGGCCCCCGTGGAGGAGGCGGTGGCTGCCGGCCTCAGGGATCTGGGCGGGAGAGGCCAGAGAGAGCCAGTGACCGTTAGCAATGAGGAAACTGAGGCCACTGCAGCCAAGGACCTCAGACACCCGCAATGGTGCCGGGCTCGCCACCGGGAAGGCCCCGGGATTCACCCCAGGACCACGCCCCCCACTGCCCAAAGACGTAGTCACACCTCGAACCCCACCTTGGCACACCCCTTCTAGACGCCTGTCCCCAGCCCAGCCCAGGGGACACCCACCGGCTGCCCGTCCTTGAGCCACACGACCTCAGGGGTTGGAAAGCCATTTGCATCACACTCCAGAGAAAGCGGCTGCCCAGCCACGCCTGACAAGTCACCCTTGCGCCCATCCTCCCGGATGCTGGGGGGCACTGAGGGGGCAAGGAGAAGCAGACAGCTGCCTCCCCCCTCCTCCACACCCGCCCCAGGGCCCCATCAGCCGGGACAGGCAGCACCGACTCCCACCCTCCCTGTCACCCGCCGTCACTGGCATCCCAGATCTGCCTATCCCTTGAGGGACGGGCACAGCCCTGGAGGTGCTCAGCGGGTGCCGCACTGGTGCTTGGCCTTACAAGAGGCCAGGGTCCTGGGTGTATTTGGCTCTGCCCCCAACCTGGCGCCACAGTCACCCAGCTGGGTCCCCAGAGTGAGTGTCTCTTCTTTTTTTTTTTTTTTTTTTTTTTT